TAAAGAAAATAATCGTTAGAATCTCACTTTAGTTAAGATTTTTGATCTATCTGTTTCGCAGTATTCCCACCGCCATCATCTAATCTCTCTCTCTCTCTCATATGAACTCACACGTTTTACGTTTGATGATCTGTTAGTCATTTTCCGCTGTTTTGTAGTTCCGACATTTATTTGTTCAATGATCATTTAATTTATAACATTGTTTCTCTTGATCAATTAATCAATCAGTTAATCGATCAACTAACTAACGATGCACGTACTCATGTTATTCTGTCCAGTTCATTATTGTTTCCACACACACACACACACAAGACAGTACTTTTTTGTCTTAATAATTTATAATACGCATTATTTTTTGTTCTTTGCTTAACCCTCATCTTAAAATTATTGTCAATAATGGTTATATTTATATGAAAGTATAGATCACCATATTTTTTAAGTAAATGCACTAAATGTTTTATTAGTATAGATTTATAGAAAGTTAATCGAGATTTTCTCGACTATATTATTATTATTATTATTATTATTATATATTGTTTAATACATCAGTTAAGCCGGAATTATAGTTTAAAAAAAACAAACATCTTAATTTATTTTACAGACAAATATAAACACTGGATGATCTGCATGAACTTTGAGTGTATGAAGTGACCTAAATTTCATTGATATACAGATTGTGAACATTGAAAATACATGTAGAGAAAGTACGTAAAATACGGTATTCATTGTATTATTATAAGTGGTTGATGGATGAATATGTTTTTTGTAACTAGCTTTATGAAAATTGTATTCGATTATGTACCTAAACTTAAGTTAATAGCTCTCATTCGGGTCGTAAAAGGACTTGTGTTCTTAGATAACACGATATATTCGGCCGAGATTTAAACTTGATCATTGATATTGTGTTTATTCGACAGTTATTCCTTCCGTACTAGTGATTGTGAAGTTTTCAATTGGTACCGTGTATTCTTAACGATTACTATACGAAGAACATTTGTATCCAAATGAGTGTTTTTAGTAATTTGCTGATTAATGCCCTAATAACGTCTATTTTAAGACATAAGACAGCATTATGTCGACAGGTTTATAGTGAGACCATCAAGCCAGCACATTTGTATCCGTGTTATGTGCTAGGCAGTCGAAAAGGCTAATCGATTAAATAAAACCCAAATTTATGGTAGTCATTTTCATCTAAGTACTGTAGTTAATATCGATTATAAAGGGATGTACGAAGTGTTATTTAAAACATGTAATGACGCGTCGACTTTTGAAGGGTTGACGAACGATCACATCTACAACTTAGTGACTGATATTCAGTAACTAGTCGAGGTCAATCCGGACCTATTTCAACGAGCAGGCTAGCTATGTTAATGTCTACCTCTACTTTGTGATGTACACGTAGTCTTGTAATAAATGGATTAATATTTTTTGCGTGAAACAAGTGTCAGCAATCCTTTCCATATTTCTGTTTCATCAGCTACCAAGATGAACATAGTGGTCGACTTTCTTAGTTCTTATGGTCAGATGAATGGACGACGCATACCATTACTGAAGCAACATTCTGTATTTATGGGGGGAAACTTAAAGACCTTTCTGGTACTGGCAAAGTACATTATATGGGAGAAAAAATTGTCTGTTGAACTGTTTAGAAAAGTTCAAGAGTGAAAGTGGCCTGCAGCTAATCGTTAATAGATGTTAAGAGAGACTGATATACTGTATGATAGTGGACGAGTCTGATTGTTATCGCAAAGTGAGATCAGGTAATACTTCAGTAAACCTCAGTGATATCCTAGGAAAAGTTACAGCCAGACTTCGCGCAGTATGTTAACACTTATGGCTTAATTGGTTATTTTGTAATGGTGTTTCTATCCGGTATAACATCATGTGGGGTAATCATCTTAGGTATCATTATAGTTAAGCGTATTGTTTTCGATGCCACTAGATGTGCTTTTTCATTAAATGAACGATTAACGAGTTCATCCAGTAAGATTGTGTTCAACTAACAAGCACTTCATAATAACTATTGGACTGCGGCACACTAACAAACAGTGATCGAGCAAGTCAGTTCTCAACAGTTCAATTAATATTAAGAAGCACATGACATGTTCTTACTTACACCTGTTACCCTTCGTGCAAGTGTGTAGGCTGCCCACCACCATTTTCTATGGAACTCTGTCCTAGGCAGTTGTTATTCATCCTTTTCATGTCTGCTTCCTAGTGTGTTCTTGGGTCTTCTACTCCATTCCCCTTCAAGATTCCTAGTCAGTGTTTACCTCGTAATTCGGTTTAATGATTTCAGCAATGAATTTCCTATCAACTTCCAGCGTCTTTCCCTAATTTCCTCGTTAATTGCAAGCTGGTATGTCCTCTCCCACAGCAAGGTGTCGCCGGTGGTATCCAACCATCGGACATTGAGTAGACATTCTGTAGACAAATGTTTATAAATTCATGCGCATTCTTGATGATGGTTGTAGTGGTTCCCCAAGTTTCAGCACCCTACAGTCGAACTGTCTTGACGCTCGTACTGACGATCCTGAATTTGATATTGGTTGCCAGTCGTGAGTCCCACGAGTTATTCAGTTACAGGAATGCTGCCTTTGTTTTGGCAATCCTTGCCTTTATATCTGCATCGGATCCACCTTGTTCGTCGATGATGCTGTCAAGGCAGATACCTGGAAGTTTCCACCTCTCCCAGAGTTTCTCCATCAAGTGTGATTGGATTGGTGCTCTCCGTGTTGTGTTTGAGGGTCCTTGTTTTGCCCTTATATATATGCTGAGGCCTATTGCTGCTGCACTTGTTGTCTTGACCTGCATTTGTTGATGTGTATGGGATAGAATGACCAGATCGTCTATTTGCATGCAAGCCGTCCACTGTATTCCGTGCTTCCCCTCAGATATACGTGTCTTCATAATCCTGCCGACCACCATAAGAGAAAAGAGAGAGAGACGGAGTTAGCAAAGTTGTCTAACACCGGTATTCACTTGGATTAAATCTGTCAGCGGACCTCGATACACGAATGTGCATTGTGGTTCGTCGTAAAGACTTCGGATGATGTTGATGACCTCAGCTACTCACTCTATAGCGTCGAAGAAGTTTTCATAAGTTTCTTCTATCCATACTGTCGAACGCCTTCTCATGTTCAATGGAGTTGAGATTTAGCGGCGAGTTCCATCCCATTGATTGTTCAGCGATGATTTGTGGTATCGCCATTTGGTCTGTACACGACCAGTCCTTTCGGAATACAGCCTGTTGATCTGGAAGTTGGGTGTCTACTGCGTCTTTCATCCGGTTCAGCAACACTGTAGAAAATCTTTCCTGATACCGATAGTAGTGTGATGCCTATGTAGTTCTCATACGTACTCAGATCTCCTTTCTTTGCTATCCTTCTTTCCAGTCCATCGGCACTTCCCCCCCCCCCCAAATCTTCCTGAATAGAACGTGAAGCATACTTGGAGTTGCTTCTATATGTGACTTCAGCTGGTATTTTGTCAGGTCCTGTTTCTTTCCCGCTCTTGATTTGTCTGATGACCATGTTGATTTCTTCCGTCTTTGGTGGAGTGACATCTATAGGAAGGTGTGTTTGTGCTGCCTCAATGTCCAGTAGATTCAATCGTACTGGCCTATTCAAGATTTCCACCCATCTGTTCCTCTTGTTGAATTTCAGTGATTGGTTTGTCTTCTCTGTTCATGACCGGTCTCGTTGGTTTACTATATTTCCCTCCCAGACTCTTCGTATAGTTGTCTCATATTTCTTTCTGTTGCAGCTTTTTCCGCCGTCGTTGTTAGGTCTTCCATATATGATATTGCTCAGTACAAATGACATACCTACTTCAGTCATTTATTTGCCAACGATTACTGACCCATCCCGTGCTGTTTACAGAATGAACGAAAATAAGTTTAGAATTCCACTGTTACCGTAGGTAAAAAATCCAAATTATAATGCGGAGTTTCCGATTAATGATGAGCGCAACGATATGATGTGGTCGAGTGTTAGTTGCAATTGTCTTAAGCCTCTGAATGTTTAGAAAAAAAGATCTGGACCCAACGCTTAATTTTTTGGCATTGTGTCAGTTGACGCGAAAATTCGAAATGACTTCCGAGTAATAACATTAGTAACTGTATACGACGTGCTTTCATGACTATCCACAGACAGACAGGCACTCCAGATAGATTCGGTGTTTCTAATCGTTGTGAACGTCCGAGCTATATGTTGCACCCAAACAGTGGTTGCTGAAATTCAGACCGTTAGACCACGTATTCCAGGTACAAAACCCTTAAAGTTATTGTTTAAGAAGTAGCTTTGATGAACGGAATATTTAAGTGAACATTAGAGAATTTGACGTTTATTTCCATTAATTTCATGTAATATCATTGTCCTCCTAATGAGGCAGCCATTAACACATAAGTTCACAAAAGTACGAAATTTTGGTTCAACCTTTAACTTTAAGACTGACAATTGATACACGGTTCCAGCATCAGAACAATAAACTTAAATAACACCAACAAGTTGGACAATGTAGCGAAAACTCCAATCATGACATACTGGAACAACTAACACATTAGTCAACTAAAACATATGCAACTAATGTTCACCCACTTGGATTATACACCAGTCCTCAGCAAATAGTAGAGAACAAGTGCGACGTTCTAAACGTGACTGAATGAAGTGCTAACCTTTTACTAAGCTCTATATGATTAAGCAAGTGTCAAACACGTTTAGTCTCTCACAACTAGGTTTTATGGCTAAACTAATTAAAATCAAAGTCCTTGAAGTCACTAACGTCTAGCCCGATTCATGTTGGTAGACGCAGACTACTTGGTTGGGGTCCGCGTGACCATTGTAACCAATGATTGGAGACTGAGCGACATGGTTCAGAATCGACAATGGCGTAGGTGTATACACTATCTATCTTCCCTTAAACTATGAGATTAAAATTATCTCACATCTTTATTTCTATGAACTAATTCTTTCTTTCTGTACTATATCCTTACATAAAATCTTTCCTTTATATATTACACCACCGAGTTAACTGCTTCTTCGAATCCGGTGTCCGTCTTGCCGTGCTAATGAGCTATGACAACTTGGACCGATCCATGTATGTGCCTGGTTCTACGTTGTAACTGATTAACATTCGGAACCTAATGAATGAATTAAATTTAAAAAATATCTCAATAGCTTACTCTTCTATTCAATATGGATCACAAGAATAGGAAACCAAAAGACGAAGTGAAAAAAAAACAACCAATTTTATTAGTGCAATGTAAAGTTAGGGCATATTTCTCAATATATTTTGACATTCGAAGCAAAAGAGTTTTAGAATACACTTTTTTTTAATAAATAAAACAGAAATATATTTGTGTTAAGTCCATGTAAATCTCGACTTAATCAGAACAACGTAAATTTATAACAAATTATTAATTAAGTACTTTAGTTGTTGTTGTTTTTTTATAAATTTTGTTCGTAAGGTTTCTCAACAAAATGCGAAGTAGAAAGATTAAGTGAAATAATACCAATAAAGAGTAGTATTATTATTATTATGAAGCAATTTAAGCAAATTAACCGACTGCTAAATAAATGAAGACCATTTTTTTTAATCGTCATCACGATCACGTCTCTAAAGGAAAGAATTAATAATATAAATTAGATCTGTTCAATAATTCATTTGAAAATCAAAATATATAGACGCTTTTAATCTAGTGGTAATTATACGTAATGTGACCAGATTGTTAATAACATTTGCTTTACATTTATTTAGATTGTGTACAAGTTCTTGGTACTTAGTTTTATACAAACATTTTGGAAACCAAGTCACACAATAGGATTATTACTATCATGCAGTAAATTAATTAGTGGAAGTACTAGGTGAAATACAATAAATACCTGTCTAGAACTTTAATCACTTGCAATAATAAGAATATATAGGCCTATTCATTACTGTATTCTCTAGTGTTAAATGTTGGGAAGTAGACAGCAAAACTCTTAAGTTACAGTTCACATTCAAAATATCGTAGCGATATAAAACTAGGAACATACCCTTTTAGAGTTGAGGATTATAAGAAGATGACGGAATATTTCGACAAAATCAATGAACAAATCCAACGTGTGCCTGAAACAGGGCAGAAAATAAGCAAAATTGAGAAAAAGTTCAGTGAACGCTTCATGATATTTTACACTGAGTCTTAATACGTAACTTGTTGAACTGTGATAGTCAGGTGAATATCCTATCAGATTATAATGTTGAGTGTATGTTCTATTTCTAAGACATATATACTGGACCTACATGCACTGATATCCACATGATTGACTTGTAGGTCAGGAATGGCAAATCCAAAACAAACAAGTTTTAGCCTGGTAGATAAGGTATCAATGTTTCATCTCTGCCATTACCATGTCCCAGCTATTGGGACTTTACGGTTGTTGGATTATTTAAACTTTTCTTCAAGTGAACTTCCATCATTCGGTATATTGAAAATCCATCAGTTTAGAGCGGTAACCACTTTTAAAAATATAACACTATTATTCTATTTGTGACCTTATCTTACTGAGAGAATTCAGGTTTACACTATGACATGATACTCTAGCAAGGCACTCGGTATCGAACTGAACATAGTTGCGAAATCTCTATACGTAAATGATTCAAATTGAACACTCAAGCTCTTAAACAGGTTGGAATGGAACCAGATACTAGTAACTGGATTTTATTATATTTCAACACAGTAACCGGAAGCTGTTGCACACAGAAATTGATACCTGAATGAAAGCGATATTTTGATTACTAATTTTTAAATTTTCGTATTTTGTTTTGATCAATCTATTGGTGAGTGGACAAGTTGGCCTTATTATCTTGAACAGAATGTAGTTAGTGCCACGTTGCATTTAGCTTTTCATTGCAATGAATGTCCTTTACTATCTTCTGCTCTTTATCATGTTAATATTCTCTTTTGCATTGTAACAATCTGGGTAGACAAACATTCGTGTCAGCCTTTGATATGTTGCATTAATCCCGACTTGATATGCAGAGTGCAGAGTGTTTGTATGAATTCTGAGGTCAATCAGTAGTGAAAGCTCTACCATGTAACTCAGTGAACTCACCATACGAAATCAGTATCCCCATTACGGCGCTTTTCAACAATTAATTGGGTATCGAAAATCACAAATGCACAAAATATAGCCAATCCAATGTAAAGTTCAGCGTTGTATATGGCCGGAGAACGAATAAATAGGTTCATGAAGCTAAATGTTGTCAGCAAACTGATTGCAGACATCAATCCAGCTATGGAACAAAGAAAAAAATTCCAATGCATCGACACCAAAAAATCGTATTAGTAATAGAACTACAACTTTTTATCTATCCAGTTAAGCTATTATTTAAGTTTTCGGTCATCTGTGATGATAAATATTTACCTCTAACAAGCTTCATCTGTATAGGTTGTAAGCAACTGAGAGAACCCAAACAAACAAAATGAAATCCTATCATTCTACTCAAAACTTTATTCTTACTATTTTCAACATGCGACATTACCAAATATAGATCAATTGTTTCTTTATCACTAGTTACATACTATATAAGTCTTCGCTCATTTTGCATTTTACGGATTTACGCACACGTATGGCACAAAGCTGAGTTGAGATGGTGGAGTTCTGTGCTGATGATGTCGTTCAGAAGAACGATGAAAGCTCCACGACCAAACCATCCAGCTCAGAGAACAAAACTCCACCAACAAAGCCGAGTGGATAAACCTGTATCTAGTAAATGAGTTACTTAAATCCGAATTGTACAGCTAAATGAAATATAGTGGTACCAACGATCAAACACAAACTTACGTATGCAAATGTCGCGGAGCAGTAACTCAGTGGTTAACGTGTTTGACTATTAACCAATTCGCAAGTTAGAACTCCGTCCCACTTCGTTTTGGGAAAATAGACAGCATTACTAGTCATCAAACCTAGATTATAACTCGAAGCTAAATACAAAAATCTGTACCCGAGAGATAAGCAGTAGACTAGATCAGATGTGAACACTAGAAACTGAGACTAAATAATCAAAGTGTGGAGAACAATTTCCTAGCTAATAAATACAATAGTTGTTGATTTTGAAATGACAAAAATGACTGATGAAAGCTAGGGTTTTGATTTAACCGATATTTTATTGTCGGAACAACAATAGCACTCACAGTATCATAACTAGTGTGCCTTCGAGGTTAAGGTGTCCATCGTCAGGGGTGACTTTATGATTACAATATTCAAATAACAAAAAGCACAAACAAATGAATGGACTGAACTTGATATATTACTCAATAAAATCACACATTCGGTTGTAATGAATAGCTTTCGGTCACTCGAAAGTGGAATTCTAATATAAAAACACTGTTTGTCCCTAGACAGACACAGTTGTGAGATGCCACAGCGTTTGACAGGGCAAGGTCTCTCCTACTCATTAAATTACAATGAAGGTGGTCTGACTCAGTGGTCGGTTTCGATATAAGTTAACCCAATTAAGAACCTTAATTTATGATAGCTTAAAAAAGGGCTAAGCAACACACATCTACTATAACTTAATAAGTCTGATTGGTTGATGTTTGAATATATTTTAGCACTACAAACAATTCACATAGGGTTTAAGACCAAAATAATCTATGGTGGGGGGATGTATGAAGTGCCAAATGCAAACTCATATACAACTTCAACACCATTAGACATGAAATACATCAGGATTTGCTATTACACAAAATAGTTGGGTTAGAAAACATACAAAACAAGGCAATTAAGTCATCAGTGAAACAAGAAAAAAAAAATACAAACTCACCACCAAGATAGATGTAATATCGTTTTCGTGTAAACAGTGCTGTTAATGTGAACGAGACGAAAATCAAGGCAGTACCCAAAAGGGCAGTTGGAATAGTATCAGGACTGATTACTGACAAAGCTTGAAGAAGTGGACCAAAACCAATACCTAGAATGAAAACAGGTAACTAGAATCTGCATGATGGGATGAACTAGCCTTATGCATTTAACTGATAAAAACTACCATTCACTCACCACGATTGACGTGACTGCACTTAAATAAATACTGATAAAAAGTTTGAATCCTAAAACTCTGCTATTCTAAGGATCCTTGGTAGGGTCATGGACAATTATTGCTGAGTCTTTTGCTAGGCTGAAATAGTTGGTCGGTGCTTCTTGGATTTTTAATAGCTGTCTGGCTAATATCAGTTTGTAATGTAAACTAACAAACAGTTTCGTAGGGAAAGCGACATTGTGCTGTTAGGTGGAATGAAATGGCATAGACCTGATGATAAGTCGAGTAAGTGTGTATCAATGTAGCCTGGACTAATTAAACGCCTATGAACAGCAAACAATTACGCGAGATGAATTAACCGGAATCAGAGGTAAGAAATGAGCTTATGTAGTTTGTGACACGTCAGGAACCAGTTACTTGGAAAGTGATGACTAGAGACTAATCCAAATTAACAGGACCTACTTGCACTACAAGTCCTTACAAGTAGATGATTGTATCATTTTACTTATATTTGTTGCATTCCCACGTTATCTTAATTCTTTATGAGAAAGTATAACGGATAACATTGTCGTGTTACGGATTGAAGACAAACAAGATAGGCAGACTAAAACCACCTTTCAGAACTACACTCAGGACAAGAAACTCTTACCTGTAGAAAAGCAGAACAAGAAGAAAGCACCAAGTCTAGAATGAAGGGTTTCTCTTGAGTGTTGTGTGAAATAAATGAACAAAGAGCTTCCAAGGGATAAAATGAATGACAAGACCACCAAAGAAGTTGTAATCGACTAAAAAATGGTGAAAAAAGTATTAATAAAAGTTATTATAGTATTATGAGATGTGATATAATGCACAGATAATTCTGACAAAATTTTAGTGGGATTTTGAAAGAGCAAGTGTAACAGACGAAAACAGATATGAATCTAGTTTTTTAAGTCTTGGAACATCCTTCAATTTAGCACTGACGCCACTTACCATTGCTTTCCTTACAAGCAGTTTTATTTGGTTCAAACACAGCCCTGCTATAACAAAACCTATGAGGCCTATATCGCTAGTATCTAAAACACTGGATGCATAAATGGACACAATTGTGACTGATTTTAAGTCATACTATCAAGCGTTCCTGACTAGTGGTTATAATAATCGTGTAGGTTCTAAGCTGGAAGTCTGCAACTACCCAAACGACTCGCTTTAACAGCTGGTGAATTTGCGGACCAATGCCATATTCTTACCTACTAAATTTATTAGGACATAAAAACATTGATAGAAAAGGGTACCAAAAGCATATGCGCCACATAATAACAATGAGGTTGTGAGGAGAGAGAATGTAAAGTGAGGATAATAAAAAGGACAACAGTGACCAGAAATTAGTGTATGAGTGAAATAAGTGATAATAATAATAATAATAATAATAATAATAATAATAATAATAATAATAACTGGAGTCAGTTCAGTTAGGAGAAATAAAACCAGAAAGAATTCTTTCATTTAGAGAAGTTACGTTTACTTTCACGAACAGAAAGTTACAGCAGGATCGCCACTGGTCTGATAACTTCTCCAGCCAGTGTTGCACCATTTCTAGGACCCCAATTAGAGATTCGTGAATTTACTCATACCAGTCGTTATTGCGGACAGTAGTGGTAGTTGGACATGAGTAATACGCTTCAAATGCAAGACGATGAAGGTTCATGAGTTCATTAACTATGACTTTCCCAAGTAAAACCTTATATGTAGCCTGAGTCACCTACTTTGTAGTGAGGCCATATGTGAACAATGTTACGAAGACGCTCATAACTGGACAACTGCAACCTGAATTTTTCTCTACTTTCATGAATTATACTTACATAGATTTGTCGAAAATCACATTTTTAGGGTTGTAAGAAATGACAATTTATACTTTGAAAACTAGTTATCCCAAGATGACATCAAACATATCCTATCTTACACTGTGAACAAGCTACTCGTGTATACTCGATTTCTCCTCTAATTTACAACTGGTAGGACCACTTTATAGTTTTTTTCGCTTTTCTGTAATGAAATATGTCATCTCAGATGAGCGTACTAAAACCGTTTTTAACATGAACCCTTCGACTAAAAGCTTACGAAAGTACAACAGAGCTAAGCTTAACAGTAGTGCTCAATTGTTTGAGGGTATTTTTTTAAATAAGAACTAAACGGAATACTAACTTAAGTAGAAAAAATGTTAAAGTAAGTAGTCAACAAACAGCACTTAAGTTCCTTAATTATTTAGTTGTTCTCAACTCACCAAACTAATCTTACGTTAGTTTGCATCAACACAGAACCTGGCATAAGTGTGGGTCAGTAAAAGTTGCTTTATCATCAGATGAAATTAACAAATACAGTAAACGAACTAAAACGTAGTAGTAACGAGAAATTAGGTATTGAAAGCATGGTTTGTAAAGATGAAAAACGCACACGCGAACCAATAATGGGACTCGGAATCTACGGCAAGATAAAGCAAACGCACCTGCGTCACTAAGATCGATCCCGAAATGTCATCAATTGCCTTCAAACGATGAACACCACTGCTGTATAGATCCAAACCAGACGGACACAGTTCAATTCGACTGTTAGTGACCTCACTGATTTATGTTAAATCCTGTAATTGATGTCCCAACCTTCACAAATCAGTGGATAACGCTTATGGCCAATCTTCAGAAAAGCCTAATGCCCTAGCTTCATCAACCTAAGACGGCGGCTGTTCTCTGTATACTCTCGGTGGTATGAATTTTATTAATAAAGTCACGACCCACGACATCGCTTTGAGTCATTTTTTAGTTGGTGACATCGTTTATTTTCTGCAGATACTTTGATGGAGGATTAGAAATAATAACTGGATGATTCACCTGTCAGTAGTGTCACTTATAGATAAAACGACTGTAGATTTCCCGGTAGCATTGAGCAATAAAACAACTTCAATTATTCGTAAATGCATAGAGTAATTACAGTTTAGACTGTATTACTGTTAACCCAAATAGTTATACAATTACTACACAGATTTATAGCTTTACTACAAAGGACGGATAAGTAACAGTAACCAGTCTTCAACTTAACTAGTATTTAATATAAACGCAACTCACCTGCAGAAAAGAGTTTATTTGAAATAAGTATGCCCCAACACATGATATTATCATACCAATAGAGAGGGTACTGTATACGTTCTTAAGATGGACTTGAACATTTTTGTCACTAAGGTGGAGTAAAGCTGAGTAAGCACGATAAACTTACAGATCTCGAAAATTAAAAACAGTCCCCAGACTCATCCTCTGGGAATGCGAGTAGCGCGACATAGCCAACGGAATATACGTGTACTAAGAACGAAAGGAGCTTTTTAAAACAAGGGCGTACAAATTTCAACAGCTTCCTCTCACGGTACATTCATATTTCAATATAATTAAACGGGGTTAGTGTAAGCTGATTTACATTTTATTACTAAATATTGGTATTGTAGTGTAGCTTCTGCTCTTTGATAATATTTGGTATGATGTGTCAAGATGATCTGGCAAAACTATTTGTTGATGATATATGTAGTGTTCAAACAGTTCGAACTATTGTACACGAAAAATACGTTTACGTTAATTAAGTCTTCATGTTTATAAGCAATGGATTACTGGTACTTCTAGATAAATAATTAGATAGTGAAACGAACAGCAATGAAACTGTTATACACTGTTGTAGGGCCAGTGAAATGTCACTGAACCCTAGCCAAATCATCCGGCAGTTGGATCACTGAATGTCGAACAGATCATCGCTCCCTGCCAAGGTCAGGTACAAGCAACGCGCATTAGTTAATCATACGCCATGGACTGGCCCATGCGGCAGTGGTCTTACTTTCGCTTGTATCTACCTTAACTAATATATTTCTGTAATAACGTCCTTTGTGTTGTACAGTCTTCAAAGCATCTATAGTACCTTGTTACGTCAATGGGGGTAGTCCACGTAAGGTGCTGACCACGAGGTGTGACTTCGACGTTAGTTGGTTCGTCACACTATTCACGTCTAACTCGAGTCGGCCTCCAATCATTTCGACATAGATCATCTACGTTGGTGATCAACACTGTATTAAGAATAAATCAGGTCTCCATTAAGAAGACAAAAATTAAGACTCGTTCTCTGATTTAATTTTATTGTGTAGAGAAAAACGAATCCCCAGAACAAGTGGGTTTTCTGGACCTTTGATAGTTCTGATGGTTCAAATGGTTGTGGACGGAATAGAAGAAGCTTTCGCGTAACGGGCTTCTGTGTCTAGTAGCAGTGGATCACCAATACCTCCAGGCAGGAACCTAGATATATTAACGATAATAGAGGCAAATAAAAATTGGTGAATCATAATAAGATACTACCCTTATTCCTTAACTCCTCCGGTAGCTCTTCTAGAGTTACTGCCGGTCCTAAGCCCGGGTAAAGGAGAAGGGTTGTGTATGGGGTCAGCGACCCCATCCCATAGAAAACTAACTCGCTAAAGAAACGCTAACCAGAAAAAATAATTCAAACCATTTAAACTCTGCCCTGAAAGTTAGAAGGTCTTCATTTAGAAGAACTATGACGCTTCATGGTGAAAGCCGAGTTCCTTCGAAAGTTACGAGGCTGATGCCTCTTCTGACAGCCAGAACAACAATTTTTATAAGCACATGTAACGTCCGGACAATGTGGGAGACCAGGAAGACCAGTCAAATAGCAACAGAAATGAGGAGATACAATTTGGCAGTACTGGTAATCAGCGAAACCCAATGGACCCAAGCTGGACAACAAAGGCTAAATACGGGAGAGATGCTACTATACTCCGGTTACAAAGAGGAAAATGCTCCATACACTCAGGGAGTTCCTCTAATGCTGACATAGGTTTAGGTCACCACCTAGCCAATTTAAAACTGAAGCTAAAAAAGAACTGGACAAGTGGACAAACAGCACTACAAAGGTTCAATACAGCCTTCTTTCGAGATACTGACAAACTCAATGGATTCAAGATAGCTCTCAACAACAGGTTCCAAGCCTTACAAGATCTACTGAAGGAAGAAGAAACTACTATGGAGGACAACAGCCGAACACGAACAGAGAAAGTCCAAGCACAAACTGAATACATAGAAGCAAACAAACAAGTGAAGAGGAGCATTAGAGCCGACAAGAAGAAATACGTGGAAGAACTAGCCACGACGGCGGAAAAAGCAGCTAGAGAAGTAAATATGAAACAGCTTTACGATACAACGAAGAGACTAGCAGGGAAATACAGTAAACCAGAGAGACTGGTCAAAGACAAAGAAGGCAAGCCAATCACCGAAATTCAACAACAGCGGAACAGATGGGTAGAGTACTTCGAGGAACTCGTGAATAGGCCGGCTCCAATGAACCCACAGGTTATCGAAGCAGCTCACGCAGATCTTCCCATAGATGTGTAGAATTATGGTCTACTATGATATTAGTACTGCTCTAATAATAGACCTAATCCTAAATTTGTAGATTTGTCATGATATAACTGCCTAATCTATAAGATCTTACGTGGAAGTCACACCATCGACTACACCAACTCACTGTATCGTATCAATTACCAATACATGATGAGGAACAAGGTTAGGCTAGAGAAAGAACAATATATTTAATATGAATAGAAGATATAAAGTAACACTGAGATGGACCACGCCTGCATGGACGAGCCATGCCACTCGATCAACTCCAATCCATTCAATTCATTCTTCGCGCCTTCTCCATTCTTAGGTATTTATCCGCGTTAAATATTGAATATCTATTTTCTGAGTAGTCTCGTGTTCGGCTTTGTGGATTGTGCGGTTATTGTCCAATGCCACTACACTACTCTCCCACCAGAATCAACGTGATGTTGGTTCGATACCGAATTGGATGGGATCGTCGTGCGCCGGAGGTTACCAAGGATAATAAAAATCCTCCGGGTATTGGTAAGCTGAAAGATAAATCAAAAAGAAAGCGGCAGCATCTGGTCGGGAAATACATGTAATAATTTTAAAATATCTGCCTTCATGCTTAAAACGCTTGAAATGAGAATTTAGGTGAAGATTATTTGAACTATAAAGAATGGCATAACACTAATAATAATACAACGATGCGTGCTAATAGCCGTTGGTTAATAACTTAACGTATAGGTAGTAAGTATTTGTGTTTAGAAGTATTAAAGTAATGAATGTTGTAGAAATATTAATATGGGTATTAGTTTTGGTTTAAATTATAAAATCAAATAACGATTATGCCGGTAAGTTGTCCATATGAGTTGAATTCCAATTGCATCTGTATTAGTAGGCTAACTGAAGGAACAAAAGTATACCGTGGAGAAGAATTCCAACTAGTGTTCCAGTTAGTTTGATACGGTTTATTTAGTTACGGGGAGATTTTCTCAACCTCATTTTTACTTGACCGTGGTAGAATTTAGTAATACTACTAATACACATGAATGGTTATCAAAACAAAATTTAAATACATGAGTGATAATTATGTGAATTTTGGACAGATAGCTAGGAACAAATCGTTAAACATGAGTGTATTCGTAAGAGACATGCTCTGTACTCAATGTTCTGATCTGCGGCAGACTATTTATTTATATTTATACTTGCTGGCTGATTGGGCATACAAGTTAGTTGCAAGTATGCAGTTTATCATAAAACGGAATACGATTTAATTGAGATATAGTGGTTATAAGTTATTAAAATCAGTTAGGCCTGTGTCATATTACTAAGTGATATGGTGCTGCAAGATGTATTTAGCTAAATAAGTTTTTACAAAATGATTAATAGTGAGTGATGCTCATGTGATTATCAGGGAGTACATAAGTTGTAACCAAGGGGGGTACACTCCCAACTCATGTCTATGATAATGGCTTGAACCTTAGTCAGTGTTGGGGTAAATTCGACATTGATGTTTTCAGTTTGCAGGAGATTTGCTCGACTGCTTATACTGATTATTTGCATGCATGATTGTGTCGCTAAACCATCAATTAGACTGACAAGGTTCTGAGATATTTACTGAATGAGCAACCGAGAGAGAAACATACTGTAATCATCTGTAGTGAATGAAGATAAAAGAAAAACAACACTAGTGATAATTATAAGTCAATTTGCTGACCGATTTTGTTAATAATTTCATTAATTTTATCAATCATATTACGTGATTGTCAAGTCATGACAATGCTTTATGACGATATCCTGAAACTATTATGTTTAACTAGTTATAGTGTTGAATGAGGATTAGTCAGTGGAAAAATAGGTATTGTTGCTTTAGGTGTTTCGAAACTATCAGAAATTTGTAACGTTAAAGAATCCGAGACGCCTAATTTAATTATAAATTTTAATTCAGAAAGATTCGTTTAGTGTTAATTCTAGTAGGCTACTGAGTTTTGATTTTAAACGTTTGTTTAGCCAACAGCTACTTGGGGATTTAGTTATTTTACTAAACTATGTTCGCATTTTAGGCTGCTAATATAATAAACCAATCCATAAACCCAAATACGATTAGCAACAACGACTGAGTCAGTGGTCTTGAGCAACAACGACTATGATGGGTTTATTGATAAATGTTAAAGGCGATCCAGATGATTTCTAAATTTAGAAGACATGGAGATATAGTGTAACGTATGTATGGGCCAGGTTAACATGCAGGTTGTTGACGTATATGACAATTTGAAAACAACGAACCTGACCAGAAAATAATTTTAAAGTTTAGACCGCTTGTGAAACTTCAGGCAGGAATATGATGCGTTATAAACATTCCATAAGAAGTTACTGCATTTAGCCTAGGGACACTTACAAATATATAGCAAAAGGAACCGGAAAACATATACATGTTAAGTAAAAAAAACCATTAAGTAGTTGAACTCGCCTGGGTTATTCTTGAAAATATGATTATTCAGTGGACGACATATATAACGCCATTCGTGAGTAGTATTGATCCAAAAGCATCCAGAATAAAACATGCAGTATGGCAATTAATTCCAGGGTGCTTGATGCTGTTGAGGTTTTTGACACTCGCTCGGATCAGAACAATCGAATGAATCCAGATAATTGTATGGTTGTCATTGAACGAACCATCTAAAAATGATTGCAGAAAACTTATAGCTGAAACTCACCGTATGTTTTTGGAGTAGTCATCCTCATTGTTTGGCAATAGAACTCGAGAATATGAAATTAGGCAGGCAGTGGTCGGAAGAAAATATATTACAGGATAGTTCATAGCTTAAAACAGGATGAGGTGTTAAGTGAAGGAACAGTGAGAATTAGATCCAGATAACTATTTAGTCCTTGATCGCATTGTTAGTCAATGTATATTTACGCTATTTATAGGTCATATTTGCTAGAGCTTGATGTTTAAACAAGACTATGTCGCTGAAGCATGTAAATGCTATTAAAGCTTGTTAACAAACCATCAAAGCTAATTAGTTAATATAGACGACCAGTTTTTATTATCGATTGAGCTAGTTTGTCATGAGGACTAATCAATATAACATTACGATAATGCATGTGAGCATTAATCAGA